CCTAAATACATAGCAGATATGTTCACTGAATATAAACCTAACAGACCACTCAGATCATTAGGATCGAGTCAGTTAGAAATACCAAGGGTTCACACAAAACAAGGGGAGTCTGCTTTTAGTTATTGTGCCGCCCGCAGTTGGAATCAGCTTCCAGAAGAGATGTGCTAAAACATTAGTCACATTTAAATGCAGACTCAAAACTCATCTGTTTAGCTGTGCATTTATTGAATGAGCACTGTGCGATGTCCGAACTGATTGCACTATATTTTATGTATAATCGTATTCTTAACCGTTTTAAATTCATTTTAAACCTCTTAAAAAATGTTTTTAATCATTTTCAAACTTTTTAAATTCATTGTTTTATTGTTGTGATTATTTTTTTTCTTTTCTTTTATGTAAAGCACTTTGAATTACCATTGTGTATGAAAAGTGCTATATAAATAAACTTGCATTGCCTAGCAACATGCTAGTAACATGCTAATCTTGCTAGAAACATGCTAGCAACAGGCTAGACATCAGCATGCTGTAGTGCATTAAGAAAAAAAATACATACAAAGACATTTCAACTTACAAGGTTAAGCAGCCAAAACATTTCCAAACTCAAAAATCTATAGCTGTGTAAGTTCATATCTGTCTGTCTGTCTGTCTGTCTTATATTGCCTTCAAAACATTAAAACTTTAAACTGTAGAACTACTCGGGGGCGTTCCCTCCGAGGAGGCAAGGGTGGCAGTGTCTCCTCAAAAAATTGGATGACAAAATGTAACCCTCTCTGTGAAAACCTAGCTAAAGTCATTTTTTTGTGTGATTTACTGTTTTCTGCATAAAATCATCCTTCATAAGGTAAAGAACACTCTGTGAAAATGTAACCGTTATATCTTTAATATTGACTGAGTACGGCCATGTCAAAGATTGAAATTATAGTGAAATTAATGGTTGAAATCAAACTTTGATGCTTGTTATCTCATAATTAGATTTTTGAGACTTTAGCCTGATTTTCACAGAGAGGGTTACAAATAATCGATATTACAAACACAAATCGCAAATATTACTAAATATGGCATTAAAAGTATAAAAGTCACTAGTTTTTATAAAGTAATGCTGTCTAACAGCGGCACATGCAGGTAAAGTTACAGCGGCGGCTTGTCTCCCTTCGGCCCATAAACTTACAACAGAGACCCCTTTGTGTGCCGTGACTTTTTTGGGTTGTAATTGAGAATGAATGGGGGAAAGTCACGTGAGAGGAGGCAATGCCTATATCGCATTATAATTGGATATGATCGGTTATGATTGAATGTGATTGGTTTATGCGATAAATTTCGCCTCTTGTTTTCATGTAAGCTTTCTGTCTGAATGAAGAAAATGATGCCGTTATTGACTAATTGGAAAGTAAGTAAACAACTCTCCCGCTTAGATACCACTGCTTTGTGTCACGTCAAAATAAAACTTGAAATGGTCTGAAAACATGAGGACCGAGTCAGTTTTTAGCGAGCATTCAGCGTGATGAAATGAAAGATATATACGAAGCTGTGATGGTGTTTACAGAGCTTTTATGACGATGACCCGAAATAAGTTGACTATTAAAAAGAACAGCTGAACATCAGTTCACAAATAAAAAATATTGGTAACATTTTACAATAAGGTGTCATTTAATGTGTTAACTAACATGAACAAACAATGAACATTTATTACAGTATTTATTAATCTTTGTTTACTTTAGTTAATACAAATACAGTTGTTCATTTTTAGTTCACAATGCATAAACTAATGTTAACGAACACAACTTTTGATTTGAATAGTGCATTAGTAAATGTTGAAATTAATATTAATTAAGATTAATAAATGCTGTAGAAGTAGGCTATTGTTTATTCCATGTTAGCTAAAGTAGTTAACTAATGTTAACTAAAGGAGCATTATTGTAAATTGTTTCCAAAATATTGTTCAAATTGTTACTGCCTTTAGTTATTATTTTGGAATAAATATAAAAATGCAAAAAAACACTATGAAATGTATAATTAGTATAAAAAAATAAAAAAAAAATATATATATATAAAAAAATAATAATATTAATAAAATACAAAATGGAATTATATTTGTTCTCTCTTATGTAATATTTATTTAACTAGGAAAATGTGACAACATTAAGTGTAACAGGGACATATATATAGGCCTATGTATGTATTTATATAACTGCTTCCTCATTTTAAAATACCACCACATGCCAGCATTACTGTATATGCAACGTATACTGTAGACTACAGTCAGAGCGCTGTGATCAGCATTGAGTCTTTAGCCTGTGGCACTCCTCTTTGTTCAGTCATTCCCCCCAACATAATCTTGAACAATATTCCTCTGAAAGGTCCTTACTCTTGCCTGTACCTGAGTGAAGCGTGGAGGTGTCAGCCTGCGTTTGTTTACCTGTGTTTTGATAACGCTATAATGATTCGTTCCTGACACCCCTGCCTGTATCAAACTAATTGGACCTGGAGGAGAGCAGGCAGAGAGGGGAAGTTGACACCATAATTAGCTTCTGAGCTCACTCCGTCTCGGCAGCGAAACTCTTAACAAGGCCCTTTTTTCACCCGGGGATTTGTAGGAACTGAAGACAGTTGCAGTTCCATGGCATTAAACAGCATCTCACTGGCCTCTGAGTCTGCACATGTGCTGTGAGCTTGTTAGAAATCATACATAAATGTCTGTTCTAATGCTAGAGCTTGACCGATATAGTTTTTTTTCTTTTTTGTTTGATATGGATTTTAGTTATGATTGATTGATTTTAATTGAATAGTACAGATAATTTTTAATTGATTAGTAGTTGATCAAATTTTTTTGTTATTTTATTGCTTAGTTTTGCCACAATTATGATTTATTTTATTAGAGATTATTCTGATTTATTATTATTATTATTCAGTTTAATTGATTAATAGTTGATCTTTTAATTGATCTTATTTGTAATAATAATTTCTAAATTTTGACACTAATTCATATTATTGATAATACATATACATGATTAGACTATTAGAAGACTAGGGGCTTGTGTTAGTAAAACGTACATTTGTAAGATTAATTTGTGAACATTCCGATTGCAAAACATCTTTGCATAAATATAATTGCTTATTATTTAGTCATTTTAATTAGAAGTTTTTTTTCATCTGATTTTCAATAATTATTTGATTTTTGACACGATGCATAATAATTAGAGTAACACAGGGCTAAAACACAGTGTTAAAAATATGAATATTTGTGACCAGTCTGAGTCTAATATTGTTATTAATAATAATACTTATAATAGTACAAAAAATGCTGCCGATACGTGTTTCTCGGCTGAGAATGAGCAGCTTTTACATAAATTATAGCATAGTGTATAGTATAGTATAGTATAGTGATGTGTTGGAGACATTTATCAGTATGACATGATATTAACCAATAGAAAAGTGTGAATATCAGTATTATCGGATTATTGATCTCTTATTATGCAGATGTCAACAGAATTGCATGCATAGTTGCATGGCTGTATTTACAGGTGCATTATTGTTATCATCTGTTAAGACGGGTGTTTTTAACAATAAATTGACCCTTTATCAGATGTATAGACATGACTTACTCACATTTGTCTGTCAAAATGGGCAGTAATTTTCCTGTTTTATCCATGCTGTGCTACCAGAAATATTGTCTTCCTGCTATTCTGCCATATGTTGTCCTCCGATGACCTTCTTCATCAGCAGGGCGTTTCTAAACACAATACCACTGCTGGCTAGGTATGTGTGTGTTTTTGGACTATTCTCAGTCCAGCCCTGCAGGGCTGTTGTTTCTGACATCTGATATAGACTGGCAAATCCTCATATTGTGTAAATCTATTATCTAATCCTATTGGCTCCTCCTCAACATTCCAAGAAAAGGAAAGATAACTATTGACAGAACAGTGCACCTCAGATAATATGTTTTCAGTAAGAATGTGCAAGTACATAAACAAAGGGCTTGACGCTTATTTTATTTTATTTTTTTTACCAAGGAGGATATGTGCTGCTAATTTTAAATATTTAGGAGGGTATAAAGAATTAAAAGTGCAATGAAAGTGTAGATGCAATGAAAGTCCAGTGATGTTTCTTCATTGGAACATATTGAGAGAAATGTAGTATTACATCACTTGCTCACCAATGGATCCTCTGCAGTGAATGGGTGCCGTCAGAATGAGAGTCAAACAGCTGATAAAAACATCACAATAATCCACAAGTAATCCACACGACTCCAGTACATCAATTAACGTCTTATGAAGCAAAAAGCTGCGGGTTTGTTAGAAACAATTACCATTGCTTTCGGCCAAAGTATGAGTCCTCTATCCATAATATTGCTTTCTCAGGAGGAACATTTTTCTTGTCTGAATCAGGAGAAAAATATGTGCAGTTTTAAACAAATATGCTGTGAGAGGTCAACATTAGGTCAACATTATGGACTGTATTTTGTCTAGAAGCGACGGTTTAAAGTTAAAACATCTTAATGATGTATTTGTTTCCGACAAAGATGCAGCTTTTTGTTTTACATGACATTAATTGATGGTCTGGAGTGGTGTGGATTGTGGATTATTGTGATGTTTTTATCAGCTGTTTGGATCATTCTGACGGCACCCATTCACTGCAGAGGATCCATTGGTGAGCAAAGTAATGATACATTTCTCCAAATCTGTTCTGATGAAGATTCAAACATCTTGGATGGCCAGAGAGTTCAATTTCAGCAAATTTTTGTTTTTGGGTGAACTATTGCTTTAATAATCATGAAATTGTGTATATTCTAAACATTGAAATTAATGTCATGGTTTATTTTGTAACAAAAAAAAAATAAAAAATTGTACAATGCAGGACTTTTTATTATAAACAACCCAGAAATACTCACACTCGTGGTGCATTGGCTGAGGCTTCAAATTTGTGTTTGCATACTTGCATAAAGTATGTTTCTAGCTCAAATCAGAATAATCCAACTTTTTATTCAAGATTATTTCACTTACCAGCAATAAAGCGGTAAGAAGATCTATTCCCTCTGTGTCAAGCCTTAAAAACAAAACAAAAACATGCTTTATATTACAATATTCATAGCATGCAAAGTCTCCGAAACATAGCGCTCTGTTGTTATTTATACATACAGGTGTGTTTGTTTTTGTACGTTTTATTTAAAGAAGCCGAAAGCTAGTCCTGTTGCTTGCAAGTTAGTTTGTGGTGTTTCTGTGGTACCTGGGCACATGATTAATGAGCGCTTGTGCTCTGTACTGAGGAAACAGGTAGGATTTAAATTCTTCATTAGCTGTGATTCTGGGCCAGGTCTCCTCAGTTGGGGTGCCTGGTTATGGAAAAAAGTGAAAGTATTTTAGTATGTGTCCTACAGTGAAATAATTAGACCTCCATTCAGCCTCAGACGGGGCACCCACGACCACCCACAGCCTGTTCACTGACCGCCTGATGCATATTGCATAAAAAATAGCAGATGTTTTGTTGATCTGGCAAGCTCCGATCCGGTTGGCTGGCTTTGCACAGCTTCTGAATCAAATTGCACAGGTTGTCATGTTTACAGCTGGTTGCTGGAACGAGCGCTTTTGAGGAGCATGTAATCACTCAGTCTGAGAGTGTGCCAGGAAATCACTTAGTAGTAAAGTTGAAACAAGTAGTTTTGGATACAAAGAAAGTCTACATGTTTTTGTGTGTGTGATTTCTATAATGGCAAATGTTGAACATTACATTCATTGTAATTATTTTTCAGTTCATATGTCAGTCTGGTCTTGTCCTATATATTTTCTTTTTTGAAAGTAATTATTACTTTTATTCACAAAGGCCACATTAATTTAATCAAAAAAGTGACATTTACACTGTTACTAAAGGTTTTAATTTTAAATCAGCATATTAGAATGGTTTCTGAAGGATCATGTGACACTGACGACTGGAGTAATGATGCTGAAAATTCAGCTTTGCATCACAGGAATAAATTACATTTTAAAATATATCCAAATAGAAACAATTGTTTAAAATTGTAATAATATTTAGCAATATTACTGCATTCTAAAAAATGCTGGGTTTTTACCCAAATGCTGGGTTCAGCCTTTTGGGTCATTTTATTGGGTTATTTTAAATATTTTTTTTACCCAGGTGCTGGGTAGTTTTTCTGTGACTAAGCTGCTGGGTCATTTTTAATGCTGGGTTATTTTTTTCTATCCAACCGCTGGGTTGAGCCTGTCTTCAACAAAACAACCCAGCTGCTGAGTTACAGTGAGATCACAGGCTTTTTGAGTCCGCTAGAGAGCGGTTCTCAGCGCCGCCGCTGATTTGGTGCACTTATTCAGCAAGATACAGGTTTGTATACATTTAATTTAATTTATAAAGTCTTTACTGTGCTGTAAATGCAACATAAGGACGAGATGTCAGTCAGCAGCGGTCAATTCGCACGATGGAAACACCATTTTGCCTAGCATAACATTCGTTTTTATTCATTATAATTGTATTTGATTGTATTTGTTATAATACTGAGTTTAATTAAATTTGACGTTAAAATATGTTCTCTAATCTCAGTGCTGTTTGTTTATGGACAGGTTTTGGAGTCAGTCACGGCATCTCTCAGCTACGAGTGAAACGCGAGGCCGCGGTCTAAAGTTCGCAGTTCCCCCGCGAACAGCAGCCCTTCACCGGCTCATATTTCGGCGACAAAACAGCACGAGAATTACCACTATTTTGGTAAAAAGCGATTACAGAGAACGGTTGAATACATTTAAATTAAAATGCTTTTTTTAAATGTTATATTTTTTATGTCTAAAATGCTTGTTAAACAAGTATAAATGTATGTAATATTGTAAACTATGCTGTATTCACCCAAATAAATTCAATTTGTCTTGTATCTTGCCCATGGGTGTTCTTGCTTTATAATAAATGTTCATCTTTTGATTATTGCTGTTGCCTCTAGTAATACTGTGTGTGTGTGTGTTTTTTTTTTATTTCCAGACCATTTTAAGCCAGCAATATAATAATTTTTAAATAATATTTGACTTAAATAAAACAACCAAGCATGTTGTGTAATAACATTTAACCAAACCAGCTGGGTCAAAATAACCCAGCATGTGTTCTGTCCAATATTTACCCAGCGCCAATAACCCAAATTGGCTTGTCTTTAACCCAGCATTTTTTAGAGTGTGTTTTTACTCTATTTTTAATCAAATAAATGCAGACTTGGTGAGCAAAAGACATATTTTAAAAACATTAAGAAAAACGAACTAACGTTTGAATGGTTGTGTATAGTTGTTTTAACTAGACAAATCAATCTAATTAAAATGAGAAATGTAACTAATTGAAATATGCAAATGTAATCAGATTTTCACATTTGCCATAAGAGAACCATTTTTTTGGTTCCCAAAAGAACCTTTCTTAAAATAACTATTTTTTTTTTTCTGTGTAAGAACATTTTGATAATCTAAAGAACATTTTTTCCACTTTAAAGAAGCTTTTGTGGATTGGAAAGATTTCATTAATGTTCAAATTTCTTCATAGAACCACAGATGCCAAATAAAGAAACGTTATCATTTATACATAATTAAAATGACCAAAAAAAAGTCTCTCGTACCCATGAGGCGAAATATCAGGTGTAGTTCCTCTTTGACAGTCGATCCAGGAAACATGGGACGGCCTGTCGCCATTTCGTACAGGATACAGCCCACGCCCCTAGTGATACAGAGACATCCATCATTTTACTGCTGCATTATGATCATAAAATCTCTTTAATTTCAGTGCTGTTATTCTATAAGTCAAAGCTTTTAAATGAAGCCAGCAGACATCATTTGAATATATCAGATCAGGACTGTCACAGATGTTTTAGATATGGCGTCTCTGAGAATATTGTCCTATCACAGTTTGACGTCTGCTTGACTGGAGGGTAGTTTCGGGAAAGCTGTGAGGTGGAGATATGGGAAAGACACATGTGGCTGCTGTCACGCTCGGATTGATTAGCCCACTGGACTAATCTTGAGGATTAAACACAACGGCATTTTTATCGAACAGGACGGCTTAGCTTTAAAAAAGCATTTATGTCCGAGTCAGTGTCAGCTATCCAAGGTTGCCCAAGGAGTGCGTGTCAGGGTGCGCGTGTGACGTTAAAAGGTTATGTCAGGAAAGACAGAATTCAATTTTCTAACTTAACGTTTCTTCTGGAGGACTGAGCAACAGTCAAGAGCTCTTTGGCACGATCAAAAGGCAGTTTGATGTATTATTTCATATGGTTTATAAATTGAATTTTTTTTCTAAAACAAAAGGTTATGTGAACTCATTTATTTAGTTATTGTGACATGAGATGTTGAATAAATAAAAAAAGACTGAATTGAATGTTTGAGTGCTGAGAAAGCAAAAAAAAAAAAAAAAGTTCCAGTGATGGCAATCATCTCAAGAACACTTTATAATAAATAAAACCTGACTCATGTTAACAGTATATAATAAATGCGTGGCCTATATTTAAGATTTTTTTCATCCATTACAGTTTTAACATTAGATTAATGTGATGCATATTCAACAGTCATATATACATAAAACAATTAAGATTTATATAACAGTACTAATTCATTGAATTTATTTAAATGCAAAATAACCAGGTATATGTAATAATCATACATCTAATTTACAATATGTAAACCGATCTCATACATTTTAACTAAGTGAATCTTGCTTGTTCCACAGCAAGCCTTTTATTTTATTTTATTTACCAATTCAATGTATTCAGTTTATTCAAATTAAAATAATTTTACCTTATTTAATAGTACCTTAAGTATTTTTTAACTCATATCGATGCAAATTCTAAGCTATGTCACGATTTATTTTGAGCGTACAGAGTTAAATTGATCTAAATCAATTAATCTCTAATTGAAATATAATTGAATAATAATCTAATTTAACATAAATCTAAAAAATTAAAATATGAGTGGTGCTTTGTTTGCAAATGTAGCTTATCTGATTTAAATGGTTAAAATTGCCTATTTAAATAAAATTTAAATTAAAGTTTGATTTCATTACATTTGTATTATTTTAATTGTTAAATTGGTCTAGTTTAAATTTGTCTAATTTAAACGGAATAGGTTTTTACAAATTTCAACCAGGTTTTTACATTTGCTGAAGAAAATATGAGTGGTGCTTTGTTTGCAAATGTATCTAATTCAACTAATTTCTAATTTAAATGGTTACATTTATTCCTTTAAATGGTTACATTGACTAGTTAAATGGTTCAATGTGTCTAGAGAAAGAAAAGATGAGTGGTGCTTTGTTTGCAAATGTAACGGTCTAATTTAAATAGTTAAAATTGCCTATATTAAATTAAATGCGAGTTATTTCAGTTGGTTTAGTTAAATTGGTTAATTTTATATCATTTACATGGTTAAACTTGTCTAGTTTAAATGGTTAAATCTCTCTAATTTAAGTTTGACTAATTTTAAGACAGGTTTTCACATTTGCTGAAGAAAATATGAGTAGTGCTTTGTTTGCAAATGTAACCTATGTAACCATAATTTTTTTTTTTGTAAAAATAGACATAAAAATGGTGTTTATTATGATTTTAGATTATGGACTATTTTTGCTTTTTTTATATAGTCTCCTAGCATTGTGTATGAGCAGTATTATTAGTTTAGCTTGAAGCTTTCCTAATGTTAGCAACAGATTGTGGCCGATGCCGTACTGTAGCTCTATGGTGTGCAGTGTTTTCTAGCAGCGGTTTTTGGGAGAAACATCTTACCACATGTCTATCGGTGTTGAGTACTCTGTAGAACCCAGCAGGACATCAGGAGGTCGATACCACAAGGTCAATATAATTGAATAATAATCTAATTTAACATAAATCTAAAAAATTAAAATATGATTGGTGCTTTGTTTGCAAATGTAGCTTATCTGATTTAAATGGTTAAAATTGCCTATTTAAATAAAATTTTAATTAAAGTTTGATTTCATTACATTTGTATTATTTTAATTGTTAAATTGGTCTAGTTTAAATTTGTCTAATTTAAACGGAATAGGTTTTTACAAATTTCAACCAGGTTTTTACATTTGCTGAAGAAAATATGAGTGGTGCTTTGTTTGCAAATGTATCTAATTCAACTAATTTCTAATTTAAATGGTTACATTTATTCCTTTAAATGGTTACATTGACTAGTTAAATGGTTCAATGTGTCTAGAGAAAGAAAAGATGAGTGGTGCTTTGTTTGCAAATGTAACGGTCTAATTTAAATAGTTAAAATTGCCTATATTAAATTAAATGCGAGTTATTTCAGTTGGTTTAGTTAAATTGGTTAATTTTATATCATTTACATGGTAAAACTTGTCTAGTTTAAATGGTTAAATCTCTCTAATTTAAGTTTGACTAATTTTAAGACAGGTTTTCACATTTGCTGAAGAAAATATGAGTAGTGCTTTGTTTGCAAATGTAACCTATGTAACCATAATTTTTTTTTTGTAAAAATAGACATAAAAATGGTGTTTATTATGATTTTAGATTATGGACTATTTTTGCTTTTTTTTTATATAGTCTCCTAGCATTGTGTATGAGCAGTATTATTAGTTTAGCTTGAAGCTTTCCTAATGTTAGCAACAGATTGTGGCCGATGCCGTACTGTAGCTCTATGGTGTGCAGTGTTTTCTAGCAGCGGTTTTTGGGAGAAACATCTTACCACATGTCTATCGGTGTTGAGTACTCTGTAGAACCCAGCAGGACATCAGGAGGTCGATACCACAAGGTCACAACCTCATTCGAATAGGTTTTTGTTGGGACTGATTTTGCTCTGGCCAAACCTTAACAAGCAAGATTAGACAGATAGTTAAGGCGATGAACAAACGTTGCTGGGTAACCCAGAATCTGAGCCAAGAGTCACATGGGAGACCGCTGCTGGGTAATGTGCTAAAAACAAGTCAGATATTCTTTGTACAGCGCACCAAAGTAAATGCATCAGTGAAAATTCAGGCCTTGTAAGAAAGTCTCACCAAAGTCTGCCAGTTTGAGTTCTCCCTTGTCATTAATGAGCAGATTCTGAGGCTTCAGGTCCCGGTGGAGAATCTTCCTCAAATGACAATATGATAAACCACGAAGAAGCTGGAACATAAATATCTACAAGGACAGAGAGGCAGATGTTAGCATTTCTAAACTTAAAGTACCAACAAAGACAGCATTTTAAATGTAGCCAGCTGCCTTCTAAGATGCCTAATTTTGAGCAAATTTGAAAGCAACATCACATGTATGTATCCACTGCAAATTTGAAAATAGTTATAATTTACTGCCATTTTAGTATAATTGGGAAGCTATTATTATTAATATGACTGATACTATTTTATAGTTGAAATAATACGACACTGGTGCAACACAACAACAACATGACGACAATGAGCACCTATAATAATAACCTCCAGCAGGGCTGTGCAACATCCGGAATTTGAAATGAAATTGGCCTTTGAAATTCTAATCCAGTTCCTGAATTTTAATCGAGCCAAACAGGATGCAGAATTGTCATTCAAATGAGAACACTATTCTAAGAGTTGTTTTGTAATAATTCATACTGAAAAATGAAATAGTATTACCCATAAACAGCCCACATATTTGCTATTTCTAGAAACATATAATTAATAGTTTATTTCTTAATAAAAGGCTAAAAACACATCTAGCACTCTCTAATCTAATTCTTTTTTAGTTATTTGTTTTCTTTTTTATTAAGAAAGAAATCCCCCTCTAACAGTTAAACTCTCAAATTCTTTTTCTAACTGCTTGTTTTCTTAAAAAAAGTTCCCTATTCTTTTTCTATTCTATCTTTTTGTTTTCTTTTTATTTATTATATATATAAAGAGAAAAAAACACCTGCATTAGGTTAACCGAGATTTGTCATAGCACTTTCTTATTATTGCTCTTTTGTTGGTTGTGATTGCTGCTATTGTCCTCATTTAAAAAAGCGTCTACTAAATGACTAAATGTAAATATATTTAAATATTTTACCAATATGTGTATACATAGAAACTATTTTGACTAATGAATGACTAATAATAAAAACATTGCCCTAATAATATTCTAATATGATGACTTGCGGCTCAAGACACATTTCTTATTATCATTGTTGAAAACAGTTGTGCTGCTTATAATTTTTGTAAAAATGTTTTAAAAAATACTTGTTTCAGGATTCTTTCATGAATAGAAACTATCAAAAACAGCATTTTTTTGTAATCTTTAGCAACATTATAAATATCTTGACTGTCATTTTTGATCAACTTATTGTGTCCTTGCTGAATTACTAAAAAAAATCTCTGAAGAATTATATCTTTATATCTAATTATACTTAATATGATTTATTATTTGTCATTTTAATGAAATAATTACTAATATGGATTTGTAAGAATGCTCTAATTTAACCCTCATTTTAAGTCTTTTTTTATGCAATAGAACATATTTAAATATTAAAGGGAGAATGAATGCACACTTTTGCTGAGGTCTTCTATGTCTGGGCTTTTTCTTTAAAGAAAGGCATCCCCGTAATTTTAAATCTGAACCAAGCTGATACTTAAATGAAGTCTCAGAGCTGTAAAAGAACTACGTTTAGCCTAACCCTGACCTCTCCTGACATGTTTTGTAATGCATTCCATCATGGCGTGTTCCCATTAGCGAGAGCTCAGCAGCCACTGGGTGGCAGCCCTGCTTCACATCGGTGTTTTCCATTAGCAACCCCGCTCACGTACTCCATCTCATTTAGATGGTGTGATTCAGGCTGGCTGAAGAAGATGCCTGTGGCTTGCCAGTTTAGAATGTATACTCTTCGTGACAATGTGGGTTTTGAACAACTGGGGAGCTCGAAATCATAGTTGTGTCTTTCAGGGAGGAGGACGCTACCTTCCCGTATGGCCGTGCATGGGGCGCCCTCTTCGTGCTCCAGACGAATCTCTTTCAGGGCCACCAGGTTTTCTGTGAGTTTGCTGCGGCCTTTGAATACCGTTGCGTATGTGCCCTGTTTGACAGACAGGAAGACAAAAATATGTCAATCTTCTGGGGAAGAGGAGTGGTGCTGAATGGATCAGTGGTTCTCTACTGGAGTAGCTCAAAATGATGTATTGCACAAAAGCAAACAGAATTGTCTTGAAATCAAACATTATTATTACCTTAAACTGCGTAATTGCAGTAATATGACATATTAAAGAGTATGTTTGGTTCTCTTGAATTTTGATGGACAATTGTTGTTTTGATGGCATGTCACGCAACCTGCCTGCATCTGTCTGATTTCACAAGCTTCTACCAAGTGACAGATTCATTTGTGCAAAAACATTGAAGAGGTTGACTTGAAACGTGGTCATTGATGTCAACAAGAAACGTCCTAAAAAAATTATTATGGTAAATTGCACTGCGTTTTTGCATTCAGCATTGTTTTGTCCTAAACTATATCAGACTTGCGATTCACTATATGAGAGCCACTGAATTAGACCAGTATGAAACTTCACACAGTCTTCAGACAAATCTGGGAGTGTTGATCCTAGTTTCTAGTTTGGTTAGAGATCTTTGTCTTCCACAATGTCTAGAAAATCCAAACCGCTCTTTAAAACCAGTGATCTATTGTCTATGAAAGTCATTTCATATTGACCGTATTTCACTGTATGTTGGCTGGAGATGAGCATAGCTAGAAAAAAAAATTCAAATTCCAAAAATGAACTTTTTATGTTTTATGGCAATTTTTGGTATACTTCGTTTTAAGTGGATAATGCATTTATTTGCAAAAAAATACAGTAAAAATGTTTATATAGTGAAATATTTGTATAATTTAAGTGTTTTCTATGTGATGGTATTGTCAAATGTAATTTATTCTTCTGATGCAAAGCTGAATTTTCAGCATCATTACTCCAGTCTTTAGTGTCACATGATCCTTCAAAATCATTCTAATATGCTGATTTTTTAAATAAACATTTCTTATAATAATTTATTTAATATTTCTGTGGAAATGGTGATAGAAAGTTTTAAAGAACAGCCTTTATTTGAAAATCTTATGTAACAACAATGTAACAATATTAATGCCTTTACTGTCACTTTTGATCAATTTATTGTGTCCTTGCTGGATAAAAGTATTAATTTTAATTTAAGACTGCTCAAAGGTGATTGTCCTTGTAAATTGATAATCCTTATAAATTAATTTATATAAAAGTGTCTGCTAAATGACATGCCTATTAAGGTTTTTAAATGTGATATTACTGATATGGTACTCACAAAAGAGCAATTTCTAGCTGATGTAATATCTTAGAGCTGAGAATAACTGGAATAAAACCATATCGCACTTTTAAAATTTTTATTAATTTCCCTGACTTTTCCTGGCAGAGATAAAAGCACCTTTAAACGTTAATGAAAACATTTATAACTGATACAAAGATATGAAAACCTGCTTTACCGCTATTTGTTTCTTTATTGAAGTGAATTCACTGCAGCCCGAGTCCAGTATTTTTCCAATACTTCAGGTTTTTCTCACACGGTCATTAGATACGGTATTCCTCAGGGTTGTACTGTATGTAGTACATAATTTTTCACAATTTGCAATGTGCATGCTTTGTTGCACTTAATGGAAAATTGACGGACTAGTCACAGTACAGCTTTGAGCATATAAAGACTGATGTCTCTTCATGCCAAAAAAAAGCCCATTAAATCAGAATCCACATTCAACACGACTCATATTCACTGTAATCGCCTGCGGGGAATCTCGTAATGAACACATTTGATTCTTCATTTCGATGGCTGCTGTTTTATGTTTTTAATTTTTGCCTATAGCATCTTTCTTTTTTTTTCCACCAAAGAAAGTGAAAACATCTTACCTCTCCTAGTTTGCCCAACTTCACATAGGTCTCCAGTTTCCCAAAGCCAATGTCCGACTGGAAAAGAATGGAATACAGTGTGACCAACATGTCTTCAATTTGTTGAAATAATAGTTTGTTGACAACATTTATGAATAGTTTTAGAAGTTGTAAACAGTGCATTGATATCAACATATGTAAATAAACACATTGAAGAGCTCGATATGTAAGTGAGGCTGTTTTTAATGTTGTTTAACGTGAAGTAGAGCGAGTGGAGGGCATTGTGTAGGAACCACTGAGGTTTTTCCTGTGTGTAGCAGAAGGACGTGCTTAGACAATAAAAAAAAACATATTCTGTGAATGCGACCAATGCCTTGTAAACCTGTTGTACATCAAGTTTTATTTGTGTGGCAGCAGCAGCATAATTATTTTATAGAAATTGACCTGAAAGAGAAGAATGGCTGTAGAAGACATTTAGGATAATGTTTTTTTATAGCAGTTCTTGCAGTAATGGTGAATACACCTTATGATGTGTAAGTATTTTTATCGATATTTTTCAGAAATTCTAGACCAATGCATTAAGTGTGCAAACCTGTTGTGCATGTTGTGTATAGCACTATTCACAATATATATTTCGAAAGCAGTAGTAGGCCTATAGTTTGACAGTAGTTGAACTTAATGGTCACTATAGAGTGTAATGAAGTAAAAATACCATTCATTTTCTCCATAGTGAATTATTTTTGAATAGTAGGCCCAACTTAAAAACCTACAAATCAGACCTACTGTGAGCTACAAGGTTGTTAATCAATATTATATGCTTCTGTTGAAGACATCAGCCAACATTATTTCAATTTATTGCATTCAGCAGTGGAATACCTGGTGAAAACTACATTTCCCATGATTCTGCAGAGAAATCTCCACCAATCAGAGAACTGTTAATGATGTCAGTTTTCTTATACTCTCAAACTACTATTATTTGTATGCATAATATGCATTTTTGCAATACATTTATATTTCTTTAAGTAACAACTTTAATACTTTTATTTGTCCAGTTTTCACTATGCTTCATGGGATTGTTATTCTTTTCCTTAGTAAAGCCATTAAGCATGTTGTTGTCTTTTTGTCTAATTTTTCAAATACTATTTTGCTTCAAATCAGAGTTTGTTGTGATTCACCTGTGGTTCATGCCATTTGGTTAAAAAAAATGTTTTACTTTTTTTTCTTCTTCTCAGAATTATGCACAATACAAACTTTTTTCTCAGAAGTGTAAGATATAAACTTGCAATTGCGAGTTATAAAGTCAGAATAGTGGGATATAAACTCACAATTGCGAGAAATATATATTCAGAATTTCAAGATAAAAACTCACGTTCTGAGAAAAAAATAATTGTGAGTTTATATCTCATAATTCTGAGTTTTTTTTTCTCGCAATTGCGAGATTATATCATGCAATACTATATATCTCGCAATTGCGAGTTTGTATCACACAATTCTGAGAAAAAGTCTGAATTGCGAGATAAAAATTCACAGTTACCTCTTTTATTTTTTATTCAGTGGTGCAAACGGGCTTCCATAGTTTAAGATTAAAAAGAAAAGAAATTAAATGGGTATCTGTGTACTGTTGTATGGCTATAATGCCTAAAAATGTTGTCTGGGTAGGAAGCTCTTATGTTTTTGGAACAGGATTTGTATGTATGCAGACAGGTTTGCTTTTCTTGCAATTTTGTTGAGATATTAACTACATCTTCATATAATTTTGTTTTTTTCTTTTCCTTTTTTAATTGTAGCTATTCAATTTTAAATGCAAAATTTAGGCGGGTTAGAGTTTCTGTTAGTCTGTAGTTATTAATGTGAACTTAGCAATCAAAACGAGGACCTTACATAGTCTAATTAACTGTCTAAGTGAGTTTAGTTTGATTACCAGTGAGGCTCTTCTGGACATGCGGCTGAGCGGTTTGCACGGTGGAGGACTTTCCATCTGTAACTTCTTCAGAAACTCTGGCGGGAGACGAATATCCATGGGCAGAGACATCCTCTTAGTTACATCCTGCACACACATCAAAGAGCTGTCAGTTATTAGCGTTCAGCTAGCACACATATGAAAACGCAGCATGTCAAGGTGAATATGACAGTTTTCTCCACCGCGCAACTCCTATAGGCAGAGCTGACTATTCTTACCATGACGAACTCGGCATGACAATAAGAAAACCTGTCACTTTTCTCCAGTACGAAGACTCTCACTCAATAAAGGATTCTGGCATAATCTAAACACGCCAAGGCAGGGTAGGACAAAATATTGTATCTTACAACGGGCTGAAGTATAACCAACAATCTTCTTGCATTTAAGAAGCTCTGATGGAGTTAGTTCGTAACTCGATTCATCGCCATGGTTAAGAGAGGCCCAAAAATAGCACAGCAATGAGGGGGAATCTTATGTGCTCTGAAAAATGAGAGCGTTCCCTGTGATTCCTCCCACTCTGCCTTGTGGCTGAGTTTGTACGGTCGTGCAATAAAACTAGCCAGCGATTCTCAATAAAATCAGGGAACAAAACATCCTCCTTTCTCCTCGGCGCTCTCCCGTCATGCCTGTGGGAATAAAATAAGGGTGCATGGTGCAGATAAAAGGGTTGCGAGTGCAGAAAGAAGCTGTCGGATTTGAAAATGGGAGAGGGCATTCATTCCAATTTTCCCCCTCTAGATTCATGGCCACTGAATAAGAAAGCTGACAGCCGAGGCAAAGAACACTCTGAATGTGGAGTCTGTCTTTTGTGGCGCCGGACTAACTTGCAGGTAATACTTCCACTTCATTTAATGATGGACTCCATCTTTCTCGTGTGCCTCCAACGGAGGCTTTCCTATCATACAGATACTGAATCGCATGGATGATTATGGTGGAAGAGAGGAGAAAAACGGGGAAGTTGATCAAGGCAGGCCTCTGATTAGTCTGTTGTCATTCAGCAATCCACTTGGCATGGTATATTTTGAACTTGCTTATTTATGGCACTATATATGTACACTTCACAATTTCTGCTAAAATCCCAATAAAATTAGAGAAAATTAGACTATTTACCAAAATCTATAAAAGGTGCATAATATATATAATACACACACACAAACAGTGGAGATGAAAATGAGAGAACAACCTACAATTTCCTAAATTTCAAGGTCAGTGCTTAGTCGCATTGGACGTTTCATTCTGGCGCCACGTGCTAATTTCCTTAATTATGAGACAAACGGTATTTAATTGGCAGCATTCCTCTAATTTTCACTGAGATTGTAAGATTGTGGGCTGCTCTAAGGGGACTGAAACCCTGCAACAGTAGGCTGTCCAGATGAAAGCCAAAGGGATGACCCTTTCAGCCATTGCAAGAGAAGTTGGTCATTCCAAATCTGTGATTTCTCGAATATTGCAGCTTTACAATGACACTAATTCATTTGAGTTCCTCCAAAAGACTGGTCGTCCCTGTAAATTCACGAGAAGACAGAATAATGCAGAGACTCTCAATGGTGAATCGGTTCAACACTGCAGCTGGAATTGCTCGCCAGGGTAAGGGTAAGGATCTGTCTCGGCATGAGACTGTCTCAAGTCTGACTGAAAACGCGCTCTGCAGTAACCAACTCATCAGCAGAAATAATCAAAAGGCAAGTCTAACCTTTGCACTATTGCATTCCCCTGGAAAAACTTAGCACTCAAGAAACGAACAAAAGGGAAACACAAAAGTACCGGAGAATGCAAATTCATTCAAATATAATTCTTCCTCCCATTTTATATTTTTACCATTACCGTGTCTCTTTAGAGCCTCTGTAAAAATGATTCCCATTATATATAGCAGTGTTTATAGTAGGGATGTAACGATGCACTCCGAGCCGGCTGAAAATCAATACCAATATATAACGATTAAAAACAGTTGAGATGTTAATTAAATCACGATACAATTGGGGGTGGGACTTTGAGTTTATATGAATGTGTCTTTGAGGGGAACTGACTATCTTTAGAAAAGTTTACATGGTATTTTCTTTTCATCTTACCTCTGTATAATGCATATTAAATTAGTGTTCATAACCGCAGTGCTGCTTTGTTTACAGTGGCAACCAAGGAAACGCTGTATCGCTGCTGTTCCAGAAGCACCACCTGCTGAGTGTATTTGCATCTCATTCAGGCCGTCTGCTGTTTTTGTTTCGATCAGATACGTTTCATGTAGTATAGTTTCACAAAACTAAAGTCAGACCATTCTGTTTTAGCTTCAAATTTCGAAATTATACAATCCAATTTAGATTAAAATCTGCTCATGCTGCATGTATGCAGCATCTTTGTGTGGATCATAATTAAAATAGGCCTACAGAGGTTGCCTCCTAATTTTAAATGGAAAGAGCACAGTCAAAGCTTTGTTTGTTTATATTGAGAGATTTCTTTCATATGTGTTATTCATTTGATTTGGAGTGTTTTAAAATTACAATCTTGTTTTGCTATATTTCAGTTTCACAAAGAAATATTTAGCAATTTCGTCTAAGAAATAATAAAAGGACACCTTTTCATTTCTAATTGGTCTTAAATATCATTTTGTTAAAAAATCGTGAGAAAATCGTATCGTGAAATCAGTATCGTGAATCGTATCGCATCGTGATTTCAGTGAATCGTTACATCCCTAGTTTATAGACAAAAACTTGTCATTGCTTTAGTGACTCGTCTCCTAGTCTCACCTTAAAGAGAAACAAAGCATTTGATAACGAGGCTTTAGTGCCTCTGGCAAGGACTTTATTAAGTACTCAGACAAGATTACAAGCAGAGCTTGTGGTGTTCTGTTAGGATCACTAGGACTCCATCAAAGCCTCTGGAAAGAGCACTTGGCTGGGCTTTAGCATGGAGAAGGATGAGATGATTAAACATGACTCACCTCCATGGAGAATCGGCGGTGCTGGACTTTGTTGCGGTACTGCAGTTGGGTGGGAGATTGAGCCTGGCTGTCTGGAGCCACTGGACTGGGCTGCAGGCTGTGTAAACCCAGACTATTGGGCACCACACCTGTAAGACACAAACACACATCTTACAGTTACTTTAGAGTTATATATATTATCTGCCAGTAGTTTTGAAAATGGTAAGAAGGGAGGATCGCTAAAATGTGCTTAACACAAATGCCAATTAATTTAATAACTATAGATATTTTTGAAAAAAATATTTTAACAATGCCACACAAACTATATTATAATAATTAAGTAATTGTGCATACATATTTTGTAGTAGTAACAATGTTAATAATAATATATATATTTTTTTTTATTGTGCTATTATTTTCTGCCTAATAATGATAATGAATCTAAAATATTGCAATATAATGAATATTTCTGAAAACAAACATGTTAACATTATAATAATAATACTAAATAATAATAATACATTCTTTATTAAACTAAGTAATTGTCCTAGTATTGTCTTGTACAATTGTTTGGGATGTGAATATAATTTCCCTTATTTTAATTTGGCCATATTAATAGTTAGCATCACCATAAAAACAAACCGTCTGCAGCGTTTTATAGATGTGATGTGCAGAATGTGATTATTTTGTCAACACTGTAAGGATTTTCTGTCTGACTGTGGTTTAGTAGATGGAGCTGATAGTCAGAAACCATCCTGTAGCCTCAACTCATTCAATATTTATAATAAATATTTGACAGTATTCTTGTATCTAAGGGTATTGAGTGACAGGCAAGGAAAAGCACATTTTGTGAGCGAATGGAAGAAGCAGGAGAGCATAAGCGAACACTTGCTTGATATATACAGTAAACTTTATAGATCTTTATTTTCAGTTCTGTACCCCCACTCAAAGCCTATAGGCCATGTTTTAGTGATCCTGCTGTGCTTTGTTTGGTTGTTGCTTCTATTACTCCGGAAACCTAAATGGCAACTGTTGCATTCATTAGGTCATAAGAGTCGTTTGAAGAGCCTCAACAATCTTTTGTGCCTCTCTTGAGCCGTAGTCGCCCCACCTCTTCTCTGATTAGCCCGCTAACACAATAACCATGAGGTCAGCTTTGGCATATGCTGATGACGGCATCATTAATCAAGCCCACCGCAGTTAGCAAAGCGATCGCAATTATCGCGCCGAGTTTCATGCATTTATGAGGTGGCTATCTAAGTGCATGTCAGTCCAGCCACCCCAATTAATAACGTCTGTGTCAACAGACTGTCAGCACAAATCCAATTACGCCCCTATACAGCATGTCCGATAGGGACCCACAGACGCCACGGCTGACCCCCTTCGCAAGCACACAGCAGCCTGGCATTATCACTGCCAAACCGTATTTTCGGAGAGTGAGAACGAAAATCAAAATGGCTTTTCTGCTCCATCAGTTCAATTTGGATGAGGGGGCTTGAAGGGCCTCCGGAGGCATCGGGGTGGGAGCCCCTGGTCCATTTCACAGCGCCGTGGCGGCATAATTGAGATCCACCTCATTATTGGGCCGAGCCCGGTGCTGAATGAGAATTGCCTGCCAGGCTCATCCGTTCTCATTTATGCCGGTCTCATCCTCTCCGGACCGCACAAGTGAACTCTTTATCGGAGCCATTTAGATGGGAACGCCGTGAAATGTCACATCTGGCAGAGACGGCCGGTCGACGCGGTCGCATTACCCACGGCTGTCTTTATTTTATCCGAGATGATCGCGACAGCTGTTTTGCGTGTTCCTGTTATTACTGTGAATATTAGGGCTGAGTTGCCAGTATCAATCAATCATTTTTTGTATCAATCCTCATTTAATCTCGATATCCATTCTTAAATAACAAGGTCGATCTCTTAAGGCCCATTAATGCTAAAAAAAATAACCATTAAGATAACTATATTAGCATCCACACCATCGTACTGTATGTTCTGTTTATTAATACATTTATGTCAGCTGTTGCTTTAAATGTGCAGTATGTTATGTTGCTAGTTAGTGGTTGAAATGGGTACTGCAGTCCAAATTCAAAATACTGATTCTCCCGCCCTCTTCCTTCTCAGACTCAACGCTCATGCGGGTTGCCAGATTGAGGACATGCAACAGGAACGAGCACAATTCAAAATGGAAGGGGACGAGCCTTACACTGTAATTTGATGAGTTGATTTCCACATTTTAATATACCTCTGGTCATAGAGTTTTTTAGATGGATGCCGAGGCTTTTTAGGTTGGGTAGAATCTGCGATCTCTGATTAAATTAATTTGCAGGCTTCCATGGCTCTAATACGCTGTTTCCCACCTACTGGCAACCCATGGTGTTGCAATACTATTGGGTAAATTGGCAGTGGGCGGAGTCACACAGACTCTGAACATAGCATTCTTTTTTGGAGAAACAAATATGTGTACTTGGCATGTTTCCTAAATATTTGCAAATATATTTATGCTTTAGTAGAGTCAAAAAATTGCATACAGCTCCTTTAAATGCATGATTTAATTCTAATTCCCAATGTTTTGTTGTTCATCAGCTGGAAAAAATTGTTCAGAGAATGATTCTCTCAGAGGATGAGTTCCCTATTCTCATTGAATTAGAATGATTTTTACTTATTTTAGTTTGTTGTAAACTTTATTGCTATAGTTATCGCCATTGGTGTGAACAGGCTTTTAGTTGATGCATGAACAAAACTTAACTAAATATTTTTTGTAGCATGCCTGCCAACCAATATTGCAGTTTTGTTATAAGAAACAATGGTTTAGCTTTCAAATTCTGTCAATTGTATTACTAAATTCAAACCGTTTTGTCACTATTTAATGTGCCATGACAGATAACTGTAGAGCATGTGAACGATCATCTCTTCCTATTTATTACTATAGCATGAAATAGGCATAAATGAAGATCAGAAGGTATCTCATCAGAAGGTAATGGTAATGCATTAACCAAAGATAATAAATAATAGGACCTAATTGAATTGTTACCATTTTTTACTTAGCCTGTTATTTCTATTTTATTTCATTTTTGAAAAAATCTGTCTGAATAACAAGTACTGTACCTGAGATATATCTAGATTAATTGATATCGAATCAAGAGCTTGTGAATTAGAATCAAATCGTGAAATCTGTGTCAGTGAAACCCAGCCCTACTGAATCTACGAGTGATTCGGAATCGGACCCTGCAGTTGCCCAACTAATACGGCATTTGAATTCCTTGTGGTGCGCACAGGTTAATATCGACGGCTCTAATCTCACTTGGCATTTTCTGTTGTTCTGAGTTTGTGCAGGGATCAGAATCCCTCCCTGTCGACAGGCCAGAGGGGTATTAGAGTCCTGACCCCAGAGTGTGTGTCGACGACAGGGTCAGAAATTGGATCTGAACTGCTTGAGCGACTCGGGCCCCCACCAAACATCAAAGCCCATCTCATCTGATCCGGGCAGGCACACAAACTGACCTCCAATATCACGCTCTCACTGTACCTCTCCGCTCGGGCTAACAGCGACGTGATGAAAGGTAAGGATGACCGCCTGCATCGACTCGCTTGCCCAGACTGTCAACGCACAGTCACTGGTTTCTGTACTGTCGAACAAGGAGGAGAGATGTGAAGCTTTGAATATCATCAAAGCTGCATGAGGGTGTGAAAGATCCAATTGAGCAGACGGAGGGAGAGACATGACTCTCAGGTCATAGATGGGAAATGACAAAGGCTGGGACAGATGCTCACGTTTTGTTATTAATAAAGGCACCTTGTGAGAAGAGGAATATCTACCGCATTGTTTTCAGATAAAGTATTACTAAAATATTGATGTCAAAATATGGTATATTCTATATTATGCCAAGAATATAGTGGTTATATCGAAGTATGTGAGTTGTATACTTTTTTTTAAATTAGTCTTTCCTTTATATTGTTCATTTAGACTGATTCACGAACATGCCCAAACACAAGAGGTGGGATTTATTGCACGAACCAATCACTGCCAAACATAACCAGTCATGTCCAATCATATCGCTATGGAGGCATTGCCTCCTCTCACATGACTTTCCCCCATTCATTCTCAATTACCCCCCACCAAACTCACTGCCAGCTTTAGGGAGAGTGAGAGACACTCGCTGTACCTTTACCTGCTGGTGTCGCTAACAATGTTTCTTTAGAAAATCGAGTGATTTATACACTTTTTAATGTTATATTTTGTAATATTTGTTTTATTTTTGTACTACAATTTTTTTCTCATCCAATATCTTGAGGAGGCGCTGTTGCAGTTATATTATTCTATAATATTCTTTAAAATATATTATAATATTATATATAAAATGAGTGAGTCAGACAGTTGAAACCAAGTATGTAGAGAGAGTGAATCCTGAGTAAAATAGTGTTGTTGAATGAATTTTTAAAATGGCTCATTTAATGACTCATTCATAAAAGTAGTAATGTTTTGATCCTGAATGTTTTTAAATGAATAGGTTTCGCGAACAATTCATTGATTTGTTCATTAAGTCAGTTCCTGAGCGAATCAGCATTTTTGAAAGAATTGGTCAATTAATTATTTCAATCCCTCACTATTAAAGATGCCACCTACAGGTGTAAACATGTACCTGCAAAAAGAGTTACCGAAAATGCACAGACAAAAAATCCTCATGGAATGTGTAGTCAATATACAATGTATACTATTAGTACATTTTTAAGGGTCTGTAACAATTCAGTCGGTAAATGAATAAATAAATACCAGTAAAGCATAACATTGGCTTCTATAGAAAGGGGAAAAAATACTATGGAAGTCAGTGGCTACCAGCAACTGTTTGGTTTTCAACATTCTTCCAAATATCTTCTTTTGTGTTCAACAGAAGAAAGAAACTCGTACAGATTTCTTACATGAGGGCGAGTAAATGATGACAGAAATTTCAGTTTTTGGGTGAACTAGCTCCAAGTCAATTCAGTTTAGAAAACATGTAGCTACCTACACGTGTCACGTGTATGTTCCCATTTAGTTCCTGTTCCTGTCCTCATTGTGTTAATCTGTATCCAGCTGTGTTTGACTAATTATTTCGTTTTCCCCTTGCATTTTAACCCTGTGTTTCCCTGAGTCTGAGTCCGCTGTTATATG